CGCGAGTATCGCGGGTCCCCCTCTTGTATTCATTGAAATACAAAGAAGGGTTAGTGGTCACAACCCAATAAAGTATATAAACATAGATCCCCATCGGGGAGGGCGGGGTATAAATGCGAAAAATAAATAAAATAAATAAATAGATCCAACAATTTGCTCACAACAATTAAACATATTTTAAACAAAGAACATATTCAAGACCAACAGTAGGCTCTTCTATAATTCCATACATAAATAGTGTCCATAGACCTCCAAACAGAAAGTAACTGCAACAGAAGACTGCCACTGTGGCAGGGATGATGGCTTCGTATCTATCCTCTCTGCAGGTCCCTCAACAACGTAGAGCGTTCACCCTGGCCAGATGCAATGCCATGCCGTCCGCCATCTTGTTCGGCAGATTCAACAAGGTTTCTCATCTGGCCAGATACTGTCCATGCGGAAAGAAATGTGTGGAATCTATCACTCATGTTCTCCTGCATTGTAACCTGCATAAGGACTTAAGGATCACATATTTACAATCTCTTTTAACCAGTATGGGTGCTTGTTCTGATGCACTTAAGGTGAATAGACTTTTAAGAGATCTCTGCCCGGACCTTACAGAGAAGGTGGCTAAGTTTCTCTGCTTGGCTTTAAAGCTGCGCCAAAGGTTCTTTTAGAATTCTTATATATGTGCTTTTAACTGGTTTTAAAATGTATAAATGGTTCTGATAATTTATGCCAATAAAGGCCGACTTGACTTGACTGCCACTGTGGAATGAATAGGCATATGAGCTGTGCCTATGTTATTTTGGAAATTGGGTTCTGTCTTACCAGCCGCTGTTGAAGATCATTGAAATGCTTGATTTATACCTGGGAGAGGCCTTCGGCTGTTATTCTTTCCACAGTGGGAGTTTTCTGTTGCAGTTACTTTCTGTTTGGAGGTCTATGGACGCTATGTATGGAATTACAGAAGAGCCTACTGTTGGTCTTGAATATGTTCTTTGTTTAAACTATGTTTAATTGTTATGAGCAAACTGTTGGATCTATATTTATATACTTTATTGGGTTGTGACCACTAAACCCCTCTTTGTATTTCAATGAATATAATATATAGTTTTGAACATAGTTGCGAATTGTAGATGGTCTTCCCTTGGTGGATATAGTTTGTGGCTATATTTCTACACTAAGGGTTCCCCTATTGTCTTTGGCACCTCAACAGTAAAGCAGGCATTGCAAGCGGGAAAGGTTGTAGTCTTGTATGTATTATCTGCAAAAGATCACAGCACTGCTGATGCAGAGATACTTTAGATAGCCCAGTTTGCACATGTGAAAAAATAAAAGCAAACAGTCGCGTCTTCATCAATCCTATGAGGTTTTAGATAACGGGTGTGTCATTAGGGCCTTGGTGGACACCAACCCAGGATTTCCTGCCTACTTTTTTTGTCTTTTATTTTTACTGCATTTTATGTGAACTTTTTAAAAAACTGTATTTTTGTAAGCTGCTTTGGTTCTATGTGAAGGAACGAAGAAGAAGAAGAAGAGATTGGATTTATACCCCGCCCTTCACTACCCAAAGGTGTCTCAGAGCGGCTTACAAACTCCTTTCCCTTCCCCTCCCCACAACAGACACCCTGTGAGGTAGGTGGGGCTGAGAGAGCTCTTGACAGAAACTGCTGTCTTTCAAGAACAGCTCTTATCAGAACTACGGCTTGCCCAAGGTCATCCAGCAGGTGCAAGTAGAGGAGTGGGGAATCAAACCCGGTTCTCCCAGATTATAGTCTGTGCACTTAACCATTCAGGTAAAGGTTCCCTTGCTCGAAAGCCAGTCGAATCCGACTCTAGGGTTGCGGTGCTCATCTCCGTTTCAAAGCCGAAGAGCCAGAGCTGTCAGAAGACGTTTCCGTGGTCATGTGGCCGGCATGACTAAACACCAAGGCGCACGGAACGCTGTTACCTTCCCATCGAAGTGGTACCTATTTATCTACTTGCAATTTCTTGCTTTCGAACTGCTAGGTTGGCAGGTGCTGGAACTAGAGACAGGAGCTCACCCCGTCTTGCGGCACCCGGGTCTTGAACTGCTGAACTACTGACCTTCCACAGCCTGCAGTTCAGCGTCTTAACCACTTGAGCCACCGCATTAACCATTACACCAAACCAAATATAGACACACACACACACACACTCTAAATAATTTTTTAAGTGTTTCATTGTTCAGTGAGGGCTACCTGGGGCTACAGGTCCTGCCTTTCTCCAAACATTCCACTCAAGGTAACATCCCAAGTAAAGTTACAGCCAGAGAGATGCAGATTGCAGATTCTTCGATGCTATCACTAGTCACGTACCGACAAGCACATAATTCTTACTGTAGAATGACAGCCAGTTCTGAATGGTCAGCATTTCTGTCGGTGACAACCCCACAATATCGTCCACCAAACCCATTTCAGTGAAGTCACCTGTTGCGAATGCTCGAGAGGCATCTTTCCCTAGAGAAACAATGTTAAATTAACACGCAAAAGGTCTACCAGCCCATGGCAAACAGGGAGATTGAACACATGAAGCTATGTTGCAGTGAGTCAGATCATTGGTCCCTTTCGGTCAATACTGACAGGTAGCAGCCCTGAAGGTCTCAAAGAGAAAAAGGCCTTGCCCAAGATCTTTTAACTGGAGGTGCCAGTGACTGAACCTGGGCCTTGCTGCATGCAAAGCAGTAGATCTTCCACTAAGCTGCAGCAAATTGCAAATTGGGCAGAAATCTTTTTCAGACTTCCTATGGGCCTATAAAAAACACAGGATTAATAGTATTACAGTGCAAAGAAATCCTAAAAGAGGTGGATTGGGCTTCCCAGACTTAACAGTCCCTAAATACTATCATGTAGACCTATGTACAGAAATATCCAAGGGGCCTGTTTTAAGCACCAAGGGCTGCATGCACTGTATACACCAAGGGCTTCACACCTGAAAAGGGGCACCAGAAAGGAAGGCGTGCAGAACCTTACACCTATTTTGCATACTCAGCAACCGATATACACCCGCACCACTGAAAAGGAGTACAGACTGGGGGCCAAAGACTGAGGAGGATACATAGAAAAACACTCAGGCTCATCCCTCATTTGCCTGCCTAGCAACCAGTGCATGCTAAACAAAGTGAAATGAACAAAGACGGGGGTTATCCCCTCATTCCTGTATGCATGCCCAGTAGCCAGCATGCACGCACACTTCTTCCCACAGACTGTCCTTCCCCAGAGGAATACCGGCGAAGAAGCTGTAGGCTCCCCCCGGTCCATAGTGCTTGCGCCCGCGCTGCACATCGAAGACCCTTCCCAGCACAGCCAAGTAAAGCCCCGCGCTCCCTGCGCCACCCGTGTAGCGGCTCAATTCGGCGGCGTTTAGCACCCGCTCCGTGCAATGTGTCTGCCACAGCCACGAGCGCGGATCGAACCCGCGGCTCCAGACCCACGCGGCCACCAAGCCCAGAGCCAGGGCAGCCACCGCTCCTCGCAACATCAGGCATGGGTTGGACGAGAGGCGGGGGGGAAGGGCCGGGCTGCCAGAGCTCAATATGGCGGCCGGCGGACAGTTGAGGGAATCACGTGACATACCACTGGTTCCGGGTCTCAGGGCGGCTGACGACTAACTGGCTGGCTGTCGCAAAGGGAGTCGAAGGGTTTTCCCCAGTGCTGCTTTACGGCAACGTCCCAAAAGGACCCTGCCGTATGAATACGTCGTGAAAGGATCGTCTGTGGTGGGAAGCATAGGAGATGACAAAGATTTCTTTTTTGGGGAGGGGGGGAAATAATTTTATTATAAAAATATACAAAAAGATACCCAAGAGAATATATAAAAGGATGGAATATTCAACAAGATACCGAAGCTGAAGCTCAAATACTTTGGCCCCCAAATGAGAAGGGAGCCCTCACTGGAGAAGACCCTGAGGCTGGGAAAGACTGAAGGTAACAGAAGAAGGGGACGTCAAAGGATGAGATGGTCAGACAGTGTTATCAAGGCAACGAACATGAAATTAAGCAAACTCCGGAGCACGACGGAAGACAGAACGACATCATCACATTTGCAAGCCGTCTGAAGCATAAACCAAAATCTCTTACCCAGGCATTATGAGAACTGTGGGTCTGGCGAGGAGAGAGCAGTACTACGTACTTCTTATTTCTGTGAAGCATAGCTCATGGCAGCTTTTGTTTTTCTTTTCGCATCTAAAACTGGATTTTATTCCAGCGCAAAGAAGACCAGCGTTCCCCCCACTGAAGCGATTTCACTACTCGCTCACACAGAGTCAGGAACGCATAAAACCCCGGTTTTATCGGGAGCTCTGCCATTATAAACCTCTTCCCCCTCTATGGTTTTCCTCGACGCTACAGGCGCGGCTCTTTGGCGCCAGTTAGACGTCGCGTTAGGACAGCGTAGCTTTGAAAAGGAATGTCTGTGGCAAGAAAGAGGCATCCTGTCGCTCGCTTTCCTGCAGCGTCATAAACAGAACTCTCTTCAAGCCTCCTTTTCGGCGAAATGTGGAGGCCTCCATGTTGGTGTGTCGCTTTCCGGCAACCTTGGGAGAACTTTGTCACTTTAGATTCAGGCGAGGCAGCCGTGTTGCTCTGAAGCAACAGAACACAATTTAGAGTCCGGTGGTACCTTGAAGACCAGCAAAGTTTTATTCACGGTGCAAGCTTCGGAGTGCACGCACGACTGAGGAAGTGTGCTTGCACAGGAAAGCTCATATACCTTGCATAAAACTTTGTAGGTCTTCAGGGTGCCACTGGACTCTAAATTCGTTCTACTGCTTCAGACGAACATGGCTGCCCACCTGGATTTGTCACTTTACATCAGCAGACCATCCCTTCTAAAGCACGGTGGGGGAGGGGGAATCTTTCCCTTCCACTTCAACTCTGATGGGCTGTCAATTCCCTAGTAAAGGTAAAGGTTCCCTTGCTCGAAAGCCAGTCGAATCCGACTGTAGTGTTCCGGTGCTCATCTCCGTTTCAAAGCCGAAGAGCCAGCGCTGTCCGAAGACGTTTCCGTGGTCATGTGGCCGGCATGACTAAACACCAAGGCGCACGGAACGCTGTTCCCTTCCCACCGAAGTGGTACTTATTTATCTACTTGCAATTTCTTGCTTTCGAACTGCTAGGTTGGCAGGAGCTGGAAATAGAGACGGGAGCTCACTCCGTCATGCGGCACCCGGGTCTGTCAATTCCCTACAGCACCATAAACAAAACCTCGCTTGGTCCCGCTTTACGGCGCCGCCGCTAAAAGACGGGATCGTCCAGCCCGGTCGCTTTACGGCGGCATCGCAAAAGAAGTAAGTGGGAAAAAGCCCTGTGCTGTGGAATCCTGGTGGGCGTCGCCCTCCCCGGGTCGCTTTACGGCTCCGTCGCCGTCCCGCTGCCCTGTTCGCCTATCCCTGCGGCCACGGGCTTTGCGACGCCGGGCTGGCCGTCGCTTTCCGGCCGTGTGGAATCCTGAGGGAGCGGCCCTTCCTGGAGCGCTGACAGGCGGCCGCCGCTCTGAGGAGGAAGCCGGCGAGGGCGGGCGCTCCATGGGGAACGTGGGCAGCCACAGCGAGGGCGAGGAGGAGGAGGAGGAGGAAGAGCGCGGTGCCGCCGCCGCCGCCGCCCCCCTCAGCGAGGGCGCCATGGACCCGGCGGCC